AAAAGGTAACAGTGCAGTCTCGTTCTGAACTGACCCATGTTTTGACCCAACGCAAATTATGCTCTAGACCTCTTCGTAAGCAGCTTATATTCGACCCTGGCAATTCTTTTCTCCTTGACTAAACGTCATCACTCTGTTGTAGAAGCAGCATGTTTCAAAGGACTTTTAAAGGTTTTCCAGGGAAATTGCCCAAGAATATGATTCTTTAAGACAAAATAGCCTACTCAACAGACTTAGCAGCAGATGGGCACAGCCTACAACCGTAGCCAATAAGTAGGAAGATCTGGGCCAACTGGGTGCATACTTTAGCTCCTTAAAGGCACGGTCCGCGATCAGGTATCGAAGTTGAAAATATGGCGTCAGGAGGTTAGAGTGGTCCGCGACGAACAACCTTGTACCGGTTTCGCGGCAAAAAATTCTATGGGAGGGGCGCTGTAGCGCAATATAGGTTCAGTGGCTCCTCCTTTTTTCCAGTGACTCCGCCTCCAGACTCCGCCCTAATGACCGACTTCCAGTGAAAAATGAGATTGCAGGACGAAAAAGCATGATAATCGCCACTTGTACGATCGTAGAAATCTTATCGGTGAATCAGCCGTGCATATGAGGGCGTAGTTTTGGAGATAGAGTTGATTGGGCACGTACAAACTGGGATCGAAATGGGGTTCTATCTAGGGCAGGTGGCATGTTTTTTGTGCTTTTTTTTGTTACTCAACCCCTTGTCGTCTATATGGAACCCCCTAATCCACCATCTGAGATGGCGAATAATCGCGGGTTCTGCCTTTAAGGAAAAAAGGCTCGTGATGGATGGGGGACGGTTTTAGTCCCCTGAGTCGAAGCATCAGTCGCCACACGACAGGAATCCTATCCTTCAAGGCACTGGGCGGTCTAGTAATTTAGCGCGTGATTTGACGCAGTCTTGCGTCACGATACTCACAAATAACAATCCACGCGCAAGCGGACAACCAGCTTTGTATCTCAGGCAGATAGCATTGACGCGGACAAGACTGTGTGTGATAGAGACATAGGCGCCCCATGCCTTCTGCTCATTCCTGCTTCGTGATCACATGAGCGCTATCTTTACAGTTCCCTGTTCCCTAGTCGACGCATACGATAAACCTGACGATACTTTGATAGCAGTACTATTGGTCTCGAACGGAGAACTTTCGGCATGACTGAGCAGCTTCTCAAATGCTGCTCTATTCTGGGATTTTCGATACGAGCATTCTTCCTGAAGCATGCATGCTGCATGCAATCAAAGTTAACGTAGAGCTGTTTAATTATCTGCTATGTGAACAAATTCCATAAGCCAGGAGTGCAGATCCGTGGCTGTAGAACTGCACCACCTTCGCCGTTCAGAAGTGGAACAAGGGTGAAGGGTTGTAGGAGTGGTACTCTTCCAACGTCTCCCCCTATCATTTGATATAAGACATACAGACCACAGACACGCAACACGCCACACGCTGGCCCTACCCCTAAGTATAGCCGCACGCGCTACTTGTCTGCTCCCCCTCGCTTGTGGCTGAGACGGCATCGTTCTCTACGTGTGTGGGGCATTACGTTTCAGAGCGAGCGAGTGCGACGAGGTATACGCTGTAAGGAGGTGACGGTCTTGTTAGCTGCGGATGAAGGGTGTGTCAAGCAGAAGCGGTTGGTGCGGCGCCAAACCCGTCCACCACGAGCTGCTGAAGCGGGTTTGTTGGTGGGAAACGATTAATACAATCGACATGATACAGTTTTGTACGTTGCTCGCTTTGAGAACTGGTGGATGAAGGGATTGCCAAACCCGGCCGACACGCCCCTCATCCGCAGCGGACAAGGCTGTACCACTGTCTGTCTCATCAATTATACTACAGCTCGCTACAGTTTTAGCAAAATGCCCGCAGCGTGTCGAGCATCGGGCGATGACGCAGGGGGTCAGCGCTTTGTGAGGGCTAAAGGAAATGCGTTAGTTGAAACTTCCTTAATCGCTTGTAGCCCCCATGAATGTTTCTTTAATGTGAAGGCTAAAAGTATCATGAAGCGACTGTAAGTAGGAGCCATATTTCAGAGCATGACTACTGAGCCCGAGTCGTCAATGGCTAAAGTGTCGGAAGGCGTAAAGAATCGCTTGGCTTCCGGTGAATGGTATGTGGCTTGTGGAACGGACGGCATTGAGCCATTGGAAAACGAGGAACGTGAGCACTGTCTCGTTGAGAACGAGACGTTCGTCTGCTATGTTGTCAAGAAGGATTGAACACTTCAGACAATGTACATACACCCGTCGTGCGCAAGTGGGTGTAGGAACCACTGTTAGCCAGCGTAATGTATTTTTCACAAGTTTTTTTTATGAATGAATTTTATAAAATGATATTTCGCAGCTTGTGACCACAATCGGCACAGGAGAGTTAACGTGGTCACGAGCGAGAAGACTCTCTCTCCTCTTACCGCTCGTGCAGACTTTGTTCGCTATCATCATGAACAAAACTCAGAATTGAATGCAAAGCAGGATCTTTATCGTTGCCTTTTCAAGTGGTAATCACACGAAACAATTTTAGTCCGCGAACCTGCAGTCATGATACCTGCTAGTGGCAGGACGCGCGACGCAGCTCGTATTGGAGCGCAGCCAGGGCGCCTTTTTCCACCAATAATGAGCTCGCTACAACCGATTGGAAAACTGGTCACGCCACGCTCTCATTAGACGCCCTATCATTTACAGGAATCATGAGTACATGTTCTGTTCTTGGAACTGTTAATAGGACTAGTACAGTCCAGGTAACGTGCCAGTGAGGCTGGGTTTGGCGCTTCACCATCTCGTTCTCCAACAGTGACTGAAGCACGTAAGGGACAACATTTGATGGTAAACTATATCACGAAGGGTGTGCCACAGTACTGTCGCTTGCGCGCTTCAACAACTGGTTGAAAACAGGTTTGACGCTGCGCCAAACCCATCCCACCCTGGAAATCCTCGTCATCCGCAGCAATCACGTCTGATCGTGAAGAACAACTGATTTATCAACTTTATCATTTTATAGTGTGATCAGAAGGTCAAATAAACAAGATGACCCGGCTCATAAACGCAGAGGTTGAACTTAGGTACTTGGCCCAAGGGCAGCCAATAGATCCCGCTACCTCACCTTGCCCTTGTAGTTATGATTCTTTCAGGTGTATCACTCACCGTTCCCTGGTCTCTTTCCCCACTCACCACCTTTTCTCGTATTCCAGACGACCTTGACCATCTTACCCTCGCCCAGTGATCATGATCAACTGTGAGAATGGG